CCAAGAGGACGAGTGTATGCAGAGCTGACCGTCACACACACACAACCTGGAGAGTTCCTGCTCATCACTGGGTCTGGGTCAGAGCTGCACGACCTGAGGTTTGGCACACACACACACACACAGTCCCACTCCCACTCGCACTCACACATACACACAGTCCCACTCGCACACACACACACTCACTTAGGGCGTATTCACACTATGCCACACTATGGCACGGTTTACTTGGCCGGCCCTGGCCCGGTTGGAAGAGGTGGGCCTGAGCCCGGTTCACTTGGACCCGAAACTGAAAGCGAGACGTGACTTTTAAGAGACTGTTTGATATGGATTTATTAATCATTCTTACTGTTCAGTGAACGCAAACTGCCGTAGTTTATTAAAAGTGGCGGATCGCGAAATATCTGACTGCATGTCACTGCATAACAAACCACTGACACAATATAACTAGAGAAATCTCCACTGTGCTGCTGGGTGAGAGAGCGCTTCTCACTGAACAGCGCAGCAGCGATGACGTAAGCGTGCCGAGGCCCGTTTGTGGTGTAAGTGCTTTGGCCCGGTTCGAGGCAACTGTACCCAGTGTGAGTACGGCCATAAACCCAGACACTTACACACACATACACAAACACTCACAATCACACACTCGTACACAGCTACACAAGTACACACACTACACTTGCGCACACTCACACACATACACTTACATACAAACAAGCACACACACATCCAGAGATGCAAAACACACACACGCTCATTTAGACAATCACAAGCACGCAACAACACATACATACACACACACACACACACACTCAAACTCAACCACTTACACACACAAACTCCGTCTCACTCACTCTCTCAACCAAACACACACTCATACACATGCAAACACTCACATGTACACACACACATTTACACACACACATACACTCTCAAACACACAAACACAATCAAAATTACTCAAACACTTACCCTCACACACACACACACACACACACTCAAAACCTCACTGAAACACTTACCCAAACACTCACACACAAAAACTCTGTCACACACACACACACACACACACACATACAAACACAATCAAACTCACCCACCCACTCACACACACAAACTCCGTCTCACTCACTCTCTCAACCACACATAAACACACACACACAATCAAAATTACTCAAACACCCTCACACACACACACACACACACACACACACGCACACACACGCACACAAACTCACAACCTCTCTTAAACACTTACCCAAACACTCACACACAAAAACTCTGTCACACACACACACACACACACACACGCAAACACAATCAACTCCGTCTCACTCACTCTCTCAACCACACATAAACACACACACACAATCAAAATTACTCAAACACCCTCACACACACACACACACACACAAACGCACACACACGCACACAAACTCACAACCTCTCTTAAACACTTACCCAAACACTCACACACAAAAACTCTGTCACACACACACACACACACACGCAAACACAATCAACTCCGTCTCACTCACTCTCTCAACCACACATAAATACACACACACACTTACACACACACAATCAAAATTACTCAAACACCCTCACACACACACACACGCACGCAAACTCACAACCTCTCTTAAACACTTACCCAAACACTCACATACAAAAACTCTGTCTCACACACACACACACACACAATTAAAATCACTCAAACACATACCCAAACACTGACACACACATTTCCTCTCTCTCTCACAGACACACACACACACACACACACACACACACAACAGTAATATCACTCCTGCATTCGAGCTGAAGGGAGTCATTGTAAGAAACATGAGAATTTTTGGAGTGTGTGTGTGTGTGTGTGTGTGTGTGTGTGTCAGTAGCAGCTGTCTGGTTGCTGCCCCTGGTCTTATCCAATCAGTAATCAGCACACACAGACTCCCCACTGCTACACACACACAGACACAGCGCCCCCTTCTGGATGTAGGTGAACTGACCTGCAGCTTATTGATCCATAAACACACACACACACACACACACACACACACACACAATCTGGATTGATTACAACAATCAGGGGACTTTGAATCAGAGTAAATGACTGAATCACACTACACTCACTACATATGACTTCAGGATTATTTACAAATATTATCCACACAATGGCAGGACGTCATCCACAGCTAATGATTCTAATTAATTCATTATTAATGTTTCTATATTTGTCCATAATGATCCTGCCGCTGATATACGTTCATGATAATTCATGTTTGTCATCAGGGGTCGCCACAGCGGAATGATCCACCAACTATTCCATTATATGTTTTACACAGCGGATGCTTTTCCAGCTGCAACCCAGTACTGGGAAACAACACTCATTCACACACACACACACACACACACACACTCATACACTATGGCCAGTGTAGTTGATCAGTTCCCCTATAGCGCATGTGTTTGGACTGTGGGGGAAACCGGAGCACCCGGAGGAAACCCACACCAACACGGGGAGAACATGCAAACTCCACACAGAAACATCAACTGACCCAGCCGAGGCTCAAACCAGTGACCTTCTTGCTGTGAGGCGATCGTGCTACCTACTACACCACCCTGACGCCCCCAATAGTATAGATGTGTAATATAATAGATTTTCTGATGTAGTTTCAGATGTGTGTGTGTGTGTGTGTGTGTGTGTGTGTGTGTGTGTGCGTGGCAGGTGGATCGAGCGTGAGGCGGCTGACGGTGGTTATGATGTGTGTGTGACGAACGTGACGGATGAGATCGGTGTTTTGGGCATCGCTGGACCCAAATCACGGACGGTTCTGCAGAAGCTGACCAGTGCAGACCTGAGCGAGTCCAGCTTCAGATTCCTGCAGTGCAGAACCATCGAGCTCG